TCTGTTGGTCCCCTCAGCCTTTTTCTCAGCATTCTAGCATCTTGTAGCTCTTTGTTTTGGACACAAAGCCACTATTTTAAGAGACACAAGATCAGATAAGATCCATGTGTGCTCGTCAAATCTGTTAAAAGCTGTTTAAAAGGTTTGTTCACTTTGACCCACATATAAGCTGTCTGTCATATTCATTCCAACTATAATTTCTCTATCCAGACCAGTTTTATTCAAGATTCGAGCAGTGATTAGTCGTGGGAGTGTAATGAGCAGCCATTGTACCGCTTAGAGCTTCACCTGTAATTTCACAGCGGCGTTTTTCAGATCAGAGGAGACGTTTGTGTCACATTTCCTTCCCAGTTGTATTAACGCCGCAAAGCCGGCACGATCCCAGCTGTTTGCTGAGGAAATCGATGAATAAATGAACGCCTCCATCTCATTTGCAACTCCTGCTGCTGCCGCTGCTAATGCTCTGCCTCCTCCGGTTGTTCTCAGAGGAGCAGCTTCACTTTCACTTCATTTACTCGCTAAATGAACAGATTATCAGAGCTCTGTAATACCACAGACAAAATACATTCATGTAATATTAAATGTGGGCTTTAGGAATCAAAATGTTATCTTTTTAGTTCATAGTAGGGAGCCATGTACAACCAAGGAGTGGATGATTGACATGAACCAGCACAGAAACAGTTGATGCCAAAAGATTAAAGTGAAAATCAAGTTGCTTTTATTTACCTTGCTTTATATTGATGTGTTTTTTTGTTTTTTTGTTCCAGATAACAAATCATAATCTGTCCATTGCTGAGTATTTTCACCTTAAAACTGCAAAGTACCGACGACAGCCTCAAAAACATGAATTCAAAACAGTCCTTTAACTCACAGGGTGGAGCTTTCTGCATCATCATTCTCCTTCAGAACCAGTTTCCAGTTCAAACATGTATGACTAAGTTACACCACATTGACATTCTGTACAACAGAGTGTTCGAGCAGTGTTGTGGGTGAGCTGGTGTGCTCGAGCTGCTCTGCATGCAGGGCGAAGCTGGAACTACGTAGATCTGCGCCGTCAGAAAAGAGTTACGTCAATGCCATTTTAAGACAGGAAGGGATTTTTTTTTTTCCTGGAAACAACTTGTGTGTTTGTCGCTCTGATGCAGAGAGATGAGTTTTTAGAGGTTTAATCAACAACCGCAGAGGGACTTTACAACTTGTCGCTGATTATATTCGATATTCTCCCCCTTAAGGTAAATGAGTTTGTTTGTTTAGCACCAATCGTTTAATTAGTTGTGTGAAATGCATTAGGAAAAGAAACTAGCTGTGTTGTAAGGTCCTCAGTTATTGGAAATCATTTACTGTTCCTGCGGGTTGTCACCTCCAGAGGACTGCATGAAGAGTGCTAAAATAAGGCAAAATAGAACTAAATCATGTAGAGTGTACTGCTGACTAAAAACTTCACTTCTGGTTCGTAGCTTCTGTCTCATCTCTACTTCCTACTTAGTTGAGCCTCTTATGTGCACATCTAAGAATAATACAACAATCCCTCAGTCATCCTCAAACAGGGTTCACCAGTCGTCTCGTTGTGAGCTCAGGAACATTAAGAGAAACATCCAAAATGACTTTTAGGTTTTTGTACAACATCTTATGTAGAAAATCACATCCAGCAGCAATATGAAGTGGAACGATCTAAAACAAATCTCGTTGTGTGATAATAAACTTTTCCTTCCAGTAAACAGAGACTGTTTTTTTTGTAGCACTCATAGACTGTAGTTAAAGAGTTTTATTTTGACGCTAGATGGATGTTTCATTGGGATCTTGAAAATCTTATCTCAACATCTTA